TTGGGCAGCTGCTTGTTGAATAAGCGAAGGTCGACTTGTGGCAATCTGGATAGAACGTGGCGTGTGAGAAACTGAGGACACGCAAGACGCGCATGACGCGCAAGACGAGCAAGACGCGCAAGACGCGCAAGACGCACAAGACACGTGAGACACGCGAGACACGCGAGGCACGCGTGATTGTAGAGCCACATTCAGCACGAAGTAAAAGAAGGCTATCTTCTTCACACTTTCGATGATTTTCTGACATTCTGGTATTCCTGTCCATGTTACCTTAACTTCATGATTATAAACCAAAAACATGTCTCCAAAGACCTTCTGAAGCTAGGGGTAAAGTGTATTTTGGGGGATCACCGGTAATATTCAGCTATGAGATAACAGACGTTTATTTCTCTGGCAGGGTTCAGCGCTTGGTTCAACAAACAGCCGCGTTACATAAAGGCGTTGGTGATTGCCGGCCCTATCGTCGTGTTTATCTTTTTCCTTGTGCTCATTGCCTGTTGTTGTGCGAGATGCAGGCGTCGTGCGCCCGCACGTTTTCATGTTCAGCTGCCAAGTCATCGTGCCCAGATCTCCTCGACCAGGAGTAGGGTGCCCATGCAACGACTGATCAACGAAGAATGAATGTGCGAGAAATGGAAAAGAATCATGGAGTGTTCATAGTAGTGAAAATAACTAATAATGTTTTCAGAGGAAGCGCCAAAAGGTGCGGAGAAATACTAAAGACAAGGTCAAAAATCCATAACATATAAAAGGCTCTAATTTAGGTAGGACCTAAGCTAGTTAAAGAGTTTACAAATACCCGTGAAGAGATAAACAATTCCTTATGTTGCGCTGCTAAACGTCGGTTGTACGATTTATTGTTACCAGCAAGAAGTAATTAGTTTTATTTCATGATCGAGTGTTAGGTTCCTTTTCAGTTTTGTAATGCATAACGTTTAACATACGTATACAGTCAGCGCGTAACTCTGAGCAAATTCTTCGTGTAGAATCAAATCGCTAAAATTTGCCGCCGGTTGAATAATAGCCAGCAGGAAAATGTATATCCTTTATATCAAACAATAAGATAAGTATACTGCTAAAGGTAACAAAAACATTGATATACAAAGCAGTGTTCCTTACATATTCACATAACATTATATAAATAATGCCTAGACACAGATGAAGTCATTGCGATATTGCTCATCAGTGTTCTTTATCTAAAGATATAATGATTTTCATGAATAGATGTCTTAAAAAGTAGCCGCTTCAGACAAGAGAGGCCTGGTTACGAGGTTACATCCGTGAAAAATTTGCGTGCAAAGCACGATGGAGGAGGGCCTAGGGACGAGCGACCTCTTTTGTGGTTGTAAAAGGTCAATTTTGATACATTAAAAATCTAACTTCGCCCCGAGGCTTGAGGGAATAAAACGAAAAAAAAATTATTCATCCGTCGACCTCGAGGTGTATTGTTTTGTTTTATTCCCCCAAGTCTCGAAGCCAAGTTCATCGAAAATGGCCTATCAGCAGCCGAGTAGTCAGGGTTCGACTCGTATGTAATACGAGTAAATTTGTAAAGATCAAATCATGTATAAATGTTAAGGTGCTATTTTGCACGTGGTTACTTGTGTAAAATATTCATTGACAATAAAGTTGTAAATATCTGTACACAACAACGCATATAATGATTATTATTGGTATTATGGCGATTGTTTATCTCAGTAGAATCTCACTGGTATCTTTCTTACTTACTGTTCTTTTCTTCTCGTTGGTTGGAAGGAACACTTAAGAACGAGAAGGAATAGGGTCAATCCTGAGGGCGACGCATGAATTTGCTCAGTTTACTCAGCCCAACCCCGTTGCGTTTTGGCTCGTTCATATCCCACGCGCCGGGTTAATATGTTGCTAAGCTTGCGATCTCGACGAGCTCGAGACGAAATAGGAGGTCTGTGGACAGACTAACAAGGAAAAAATGAGAGCCTTTTCATCTGACTGACGTGTGCGTGACCAGCGCTGAAATCCTGAGGCCCTAGTGGTTTTATGAAATGAAACTCTGGAATGCTGTTAACTTCCTGTGTTCGTGTGATCAAGTGAGCATTGGGCTCAGTTTTTTTTTTTTTTTTTTTTTTTTGCTAAAGGCGTAGGTAATAAGCATTTTCTGACCCTGTGGGGGAGGGCAGGAAAGATGAGGCATGACCTGGTAGCATCTTGGGAAATTTAACATGATATTAAAAAAATTATCTGTTGGCCATATTCTAAAATTGTATTTAAACTTGTTCAGGTGCCAGTAAAATCCCAGACCTGTTCATTTCACTCGTCTTCTTAGGCAATTGATCCTAATGGTCTGAACATCCGCGAAGAAACATATTAATTGTTTCCATTTGTTTTTTTTTTGTTTTGTTTTGTTTTGTTTTATTGTGTTCTTTTATCATGTTATTTTATTTTACCGCATGCTTATCTTCAATTTACACTATCTATTACCTTTGCGTATTTCCGGTATTACGTAAATATCGGCTACATAAAAACACGCACCAATGTAAAATCTTCCATTGTACCTGAAGAAGGCTGGNTTTGGCCAGCCGAAATATAGTACACCTTCAAAAAATCATTCTACGTTGTGTCGGTTTTTGCTTTTGTATTCCTCTTTTTTGAACTAGTTTTCTTCTCCCCTCAGAGTTCGAAACAATTCCGATGGCCTCTCTTCTTCAGCTTTGTTCCAGACCCTGTGGAAAAAACGCCGTGCCTAGGAAGAACCAGACATGACGTACTAAAAACTGGGCGTTATTACTTCCGGACAACGAAAAGCCTTCCAGTCGCGCGTTTTGCCCGGGCACGTTTGTCCCGGTTAGCGCACAATTTTCCAACAAAATCAAGCTTAACTAAATTCGTTTGACAAAATACTTATTGACTGAGTCATGTCAGGCCACAAGGCAAAATTACTGACTTTTGGCAAGAGAGGTCCTCTTTTCGTCATTTTGCCACAATATTCCGTGATATTTTTGCTTCCAACTGAAAGTCACGTGATTATGCTCAGTGCAACGACGTCATAACAAACGGGAAAAAAAAAATCCAGGATATATTCACACGCTTGTCCTATTTTGTGCACAGATTGCAAAAACATGACCCAGAGTACGACAGGAGGTTTTGTAAAAGAGATGTTCCTTATTTTAGCCATCATTTTAGCTACAGAAGGTACGTTTTTTCAACGGTTTCGTCAAGTGAAATAATTACAATATTATAATTTTGCCATAACATATTGTTTTTTGCGCAGGGACACGCATGGTCCTTTTTTTTTTTTTTTTTGCGACAAGCGCTTTCAGTCATTGAAAAACATGTTGGTTTAAATATTAGGGAAATCGAAATCGAAACCACAGATCTAGGCATAAGTGTGTCGCGGTATATAGAAGAAGAGTTTAAAGAGAACTTTGCCAGTGGTAGCAACCTGCATCGACCTGCATCGAAAAGACGTTTTGCGAAGGGTTAATATTTCAATGTTTGTGCAGAAATTCGGAATTATTTCGACTAGAACATAGTTGCCTATTGAATGGCTTATTTCTGGAAAACTCAGATCCAATCTTTTGGTAAATTCTGAGTAAATGATCGTGGTTTAATTGCGAATTAAAATATTAAACAATCGTATGAGGAATAAGAGATGTATCGAGTAGCGAAGGAATTTGCACTTGTCTTACACGAGGTGGAACACGAGGTGACCGGTCGGAAACACGATCTCATCTGCGGAGTTGAATTAGACTGATTACACGCGCTTTTAGTAGGTGATAACCTGCGCTCAGGCGGCCTTTTTTTGGGACAGGAAAGCGAGTAGGGGAAAAATAACTCCCTCCCCGCGTCTGAATCTTAAGGGTTGTAGGTTATATCGGTGACATCTTTCGACACACTGTCGTCTTTCGACATGCTATGTATCAAACTTGGCCGACGTCAAAACTGTAAAGCACAACGGACTTCTTTACGGTGGAACTCAAATTTTAGTGATGAGAGATGGATTTATTTGACATCACACTAAGGTTAGGGGTATCGAGAAGTCATTCTGGGAGAAATAAATCTACTGTTTTGAATGTTTACACCTTGTGAACGTTGAAAGCGGCAGGGGTCCAATTCTACCGGAAAGTCACTATGGAGAACCGATCGACTACACTAAAATCGGTTGAATTATCCTGTAGCTCGGTAAACATGCAAAGTCCGCAATCTTCTTCAGCCATTTAAGGTCAGTAGTTATCATATTATATGTCATTTCTTCTGTTAATAACCAGAAAAATTGCTAGTTTCACAGTTGAAGATGATTTCCGGTCCGTACTGCACAGTGTCAGCACCCTAATTAACAATTAGACCCGTAGTTCGCAAGGGCTACGGGTCAATAGCCCATGAGGCGTTTTAGTATCACCCAACTAGTTGGACAGAAAAGGCAACAATAAAGTTAGCAAATGCAAGTTGAAGAAATATTTATTTGGGAATAAAATGAAAGAAAGTGTCACACTCAATTGCACCAATTTCGCTACTCGAGGACTATTACTAATAGTCCTCTAGTAGCATAGCCAATTAAAATGCAGGATTTGCATTAGTCCACTAGTAGGGTGATACTAATGGCTGATAGTATGCAATGGCTCAGCCAATTAGATTACAGCAATTGCATTAGTATAGTAGGTAGAATTCTACTAATAAACATTAGTATCACCCAACAAGTGGACTAATGCAAATCCTGCATTTTAATTGGCTACGCTACTAGGGGACTATTAGTAATAGTCGTCAAGTAGTGAAATAGGGGCAATCGAGCATGACGTTTTTTTTTTGTTTTATTCCCAAATAAACATTTCTTCAACTTGCATTTGCTAATTTTATTATTGCCTTTTCTGTCCAACTAGTTGGGTGATAATAAAACAAGGGCTACGGGTCAATAGCCCAACTAGTTGGATGATAATAAAACAATAAAACTAAAACGTAGCCCTTGAGGACGAAGGGTCTAATTATTAGACCCTTCGCCCTCAAGGGCCACTGGTCAATAGCCCATTCGGCTTCGCCTTATGGGCTACTGACCCATCACCCTTGCGGGCTATGGGTCTAATTGTTAATTAGCGTGCAGTAGCTTGGTGTGGTCCACAAAATTGCAACATTTCCTCGTTTCTCCAAAGTTTTGAAAGAAAATTTAGAGATGAACGAATAAACAAAATTCCCGAGAAAATTAAAAGGAGGGCATTTTCAGTTTCTTGGATTAAAAAAGCTCGAAATTTTTAAAGAAACTAATCATGATAAGTGCACTTACACAACTGCAAATGTCAAATTGACAATTAATTCAGTCCATGCGAATTCTCTAATTAATTCAGTCTGTGCGAATTCTCTAAAGAGTGAAGTTTAATACTAAGATCAGAAATAATTGGAATCATCATTTGAAGGAAATTTCAGTTAGGATTCTAATAAAACAAATTTGGCCTTATCAGCTATCACCTCATAGAAATCTCAAGCTCATTATTGTTAATTAGTATAAATCTACTAGCGTTCTATCATGAATGCTGTTCTCTGATTGGCTACACTACTCACTATCTATTCTGTGATAGATGGTGAGT